GGAGAGACATGAATTCTCTTCTGCTCTACTTATTCTCGACTTTTCGAATAATAAGCCCAAGAAACAAAAGAAAGAAACGAGGGGGGGAATATAGAATTCTTTGATGTCAAAGAATGAACAAGAAACAAAAAAAAACTCACTTCAAGGCCCTAAATTTAGAAGCTTCCCTTTGCCTGGAAGCCCTTCTTTTTGCCTCCCTTCAAGCTCCCCTTCAAGCCCCCTTTTAAGTCCCCCTTAAGCTTTCCCTTTATCCCTCTTAAGCACCTCTCGAGCCTCCCTTAAGCTCCCAAGACCAAAAAAATTGATCCACAAAAAGTGTTTCAAACACCACTTCGGCCCAACAATTTGAGCGACAGCCAGCTAACCTAAGCGCAGACCAGCGAGACTGTTTTCTCTGGTGATGCAACGGCTGAAGCTGTGCAAGCAGAAAGCCAAGCAGCTAAGCTGTTGCCAAAACCCCCTTTAGCAAAAGCAAGCAAAAGCAATTAGCTAACACACCCAAAGCGAACAAGGAGGTTCCAGGCAAGCAAAGCTGACTAGACACACCACCAGGCTCCGAAAAGGGAGCTTCTCATATTCAGGAGTAAGGTTTAGGCCCGGTGCAGCGTTTACTTGTCGGTGCCTGCAGAGAGCCGCGGCCCTACACTGGGACAACCTGTCGTTTGTTTTGAACACATGGTCTTCTCCCAAAATAGTTGGTACCCCTTCAAAGAATCTCAAATCCTACAATCCTTTTAGCAGAATCCCAGAAAAAGTATTGGTATATGCAGGGCGAATGTAGGGAATGCCATATCAGTCTCTCCACCCCTGATGAAAACGACCATGTTGAGAAAGTCGAACTGGATGAAGATGGAACATGTTTTTCGGGGACATCCGAATGAAGAAGCCATCTCGTGTTAGCATCGGGAATGAGATTTCCGGTCGATTCCAAGCTTCGCATACCCTAAACCCTGAACTCTTACCCCTAAATGGAACTGGCTGGGTCCGCCATACCTTAGGGCAAAAACGCTGAATTCTCTACCGAACGTGAAACCTCCCGAGTATGAAACACCCACCCAGAAATATGAGATGCTGCAGTATTTGTGCTATTTGATAACATACTGTGATCTGTTTTCATACATTCTGCAATATGCTTGGCTAAGACATGGAACACTATAATGTACTCGAATCTTATAGTCTGCTGTATGGTCTCCGAAAGCTGCCAACTCTCCGAGAAAGATCTGCCACAGCTGTACACGAGGACTGAGGACCGAGTGCAACAGAAGCTAACAGCGAAGCTCTCAGAAACGTGTACCTGCACACAGAACAAGAGAGAAGGCTGCGAGACTAGAAAGGAACAACGTATCCAGTCATGGCAGAAAAAATCACCGCTCATTTCATGTCATTGTATGTTTTTAGTTTTCCGCTTTTGCACCATGCTGTAAGAAATGCAACGCAAGAAAATCGCTGGTTCCCACAAGGGGTCATCGGGCGTCCGAAACATGCGCTCTCGTATTTTGTTTATCCGCATCTTGCGCCGTGCTGTAAGAATTGCGACGCAAGAAAATAGCCGGTTCCCAGAACGGGTCCTCGGATACGTGGGCTTTGTTGGGTCCTCGGGCTTCCGGATACGTACGTGCGCTCTCAGCACGAGTTGATAGGTGCTTGCACCGAGACCGTACATCGACGCGAACAGCAGCGGTTTGGCATTAGCCCTGGCTCCAATCTGTGATCTCGATCAGAAGCGAAGAGCAGCGCCGTCCAGTCACTATGAAACGAGCCTTCCGTGTCAGCGGCGGCTGCGAGCAGCGACCGGACAACTTCCACGTGACCTATGTAGGCTGCGCGCATCAACGCCGTGTCACCATCAGCGCCCGCTTTGAGGAGCAGACGCACTATGGCCACATCTTGATGCCCGGATTAGTGCGGTCGTGCCCGGATCATCGTTGTGATTTATGCGGGCACGAGCTTCGAGCAACTCGGCCATGAACAGGAGCGCCAGCGTATGGCAGACCGTAGTCGTAGCTGTTGGCATGCATAATGCATGCCAACAGCAGCGCTGTTTGGCCCTGGCCATCCCAGGAATTCATGGCGGCTCCAGCTCGAAGTAGCGAGGCCACGATTTGCTCGTTGCTCTCAAGGACGCACTGAAGCGCATTCCCGCAGAAACCGCAATCAACCAGCGCTTTCTTTTTGCTGTCAATTGTTACGCCTTCCTCACTGTTGCAGGTATGGACATGAGCAAAATGAACTCGCCAGCCATAACCATGTCCGTGATCGCTTCCACACTCTGACAAGCGTCACACCTTCCTGCCACGACGCGGCATGACTGCGCCTAGAACGTACACGTGGCTAGAGCCAAAACTTCGCAAGATTTCGCAAGCACAAACACGTGCAAGTCGAATTCGAACGGTTGTGAACTGTTCCACACATGCGTGCCGCGCCTGCTTCTGCTGCGCCACGTGACTGCGTCTGAAACGACCGCATGCCACAGCCAAACTTCGCAATAGAACTGAGTGCCACGCCTTCTTTTCGACCACGGCGCATGAACCTGCAAAGTGCACGTTGCACAGGCAAAACTCATTGCTGCAAACACCACGCCTCCACTGCAAGTGTCACCGCTTGGTGGACTTTGTTGTGCCGACATGCAACACGGTCTTTGCGAGGTTTTCGCGCGTCCGAAAGTTCAGAATTTGCAAGGTCGTCGAATGTCGGAAATTCCATTTCCACGGTGTGCGAGGCTTTGAAGCGTGTGGAATTTCGTTTCCACGGTACTTGCGAGGATTTTCCGTTTCCACGGTACTTGAGAGGTTTGGCAGCATCCGGATCATTTGCTTGGTTGCGTTGCTACCATGTTGCTATTCCTTCCCTTACAAGCTCAGAACCAATCAGCCTGAAAATGTGGAAACGGAATTCCGCACGCTCGAACACCTCGCACATGTGCCGTGAACCTCGCAAAATCTCGTCCTCCTGAGTACAAACGTAGTATTCTACAGGACCAAGGTGTGGGCGCGCGACTTTGCCTCAAGAGCTCGAGTCGCAAAAACCTGCAAATATCGTGGAAACGGGAATTCCACGCTCAAAATCTTGGCAGATACCGTGGAACAGAATCAGAAAGTAAAAGGGCGCTAAACATGACAGGGTTGCTGCTGGTGTGTAACCATTTGACGTGGCACCACCTTGCTGCCCATTCTTCTTGCAAGCAAAAGCGCAATGTGGAATGCAAGTTGCTAAAGAAGCCAGTTTTCCAATTCTCTCCTCAGCTGGCGATTCCATGTGCAGATGCTTTTGGTGCCAAAACTCCCACGACAGTTCATGCGCAGGGAAGAAGCTGCATGCCCTGCCAGCCACTCCTTCTTGCCTCCTGGCAAGGTAAGGACTCCTAAGACTGTTAGACGCGCCAGTCACAGACGCACAGCCTGGCAAGCCTTTGCAGCCACTGTGCAGGGCGTGTCCACGGACAACACAGCAAAATGGCGGCCCAGCCTTCAAATTTCCGTGCGGCTGCCCTCCGGGCAAGCTCTCAATCACAGCTTTTGCGCAATATGCGCGAGGCAGGTGGACTCGGGCCCTGCAAAAAAACAGGCATCAATTGCGTGAGCTGCAGCGAGCACCCCAGTGTACGCTCGCCAGGCAATCGAAAAAGACACAAGGGTACAGTCACGGGGGAACTTCGTGGTGGATGAGAGTATGCAATGCCTGATGCAAAATTGGGATGACGAAGGGAAACAGGATTGGGGGGGCGTGGGAGATTCGGATTCTGGAGTTTTGCCGATTCGGAACATTGATGGACAAGCGAACATCGATTTTGCAAGTCATCTCATGTAGCTCAAGGGATCCCAAAAAAGAAAAGTTGGGTTTATGAAACACTTGGTTATTGCTTGTTTTCCCGAATGCGGTTCCCGTTTAAGATGGGGTCTGGGGGTTGGTGGGTTTTGGTCGGCGTGCGGTTCACGGAGTGACGCCTGGAGCACACCCTCGGGAAACCCCACATTTTTGAGTTGCATGGAAGCTTAAGAAAGTGACAACACTGTCAGGATAAGGCCTGGAGGAAATCGTTGACTTTGGTTGACGGAATGACAAATCGAGCACACCTTCGGGGAAAACTATGTCTTTTTCAATAATGCATTTTTTGAGTTTTGTGAGGCATAGGTGCTAAAAAAGTGCACTACAGGCTCGAGGATGAGGCACAGGGCGGAAATCGTTCACTTTTGTCACAGGCACCTGCGCGAAATCGTTGACTTTGGTTGACGGAGTGACAAATCGAGCACGCCCTCGAGGAAAACCGTGTTTTTGATGCATTTTTTGAGTTGCCGCATTTTTTTGGTCGAATCCTGTGAACGAGTGATGTGGAGACAATGGCAAATTCATCAAGTCAGGTTGGAAGAGACCGTCGGCATCGAGTGTTAAAGAGACAACTGAATTTTCTTGCGACAATAAGTGGCCCAGCTCAATGCGGCAAGCTATACTATGCGTAAGGCGCGTGCAGCAAAGACTGGGTGGGAGGCTTCGAATTTTAGCATGCTGCTGGGCTACTTCGGAAGTGGGCGTCAACACCATGATGCCACTTCATGAACAAGCCGTGTGAGTGACGTGGTGCGATTGTGGTAAGTTTCATGTGGAGCACCATTCCTTTTGCTAGCCTTCGCATCTGAAATATCGTCAAACTCACCTCATTGCCGGTCCGAGCAACAACCCATCCAGCTTGATGTATGGTTGGCCATTGCGCGCTGCTGTAATGTGAACCTTCGCAGTAGTACAACCATGTTCATGTTCGTGGCCGCGAACCCAATGTTGAATATCGAATGTTCAATGCATTGCCAAGTCAGTATGGGGAACCTGTTGAATCTGAAGGCCCTTCCTCAGGTTGTTTGGAGTTGTTTGCCTCACGTGCTGGCCGAACTGGCTTTCGGTTCAAGCAAGAGGGAGACTCGTGGCCCGCAGTATTCGGCAAGACTGCGTCTCAGAGGAACTGGAGCCTGCAAGTTCCGGTGTTTGTCCGAATTTCATGGCTGCAGGCCATGGCTGCTGCAGCGGCACGGGACGCTGCCGGGGCCAGGGTATACAGTACGTGAGCTGTGCGTTTGATTCAGTCTTGCAGGAAGCTCTGCCTTCGTGATGTAATGTGATGTGCTTCTTGTGAGGAAGAAGAGATGGATGAGGAGTTGGAAGACCTACCGGAAACCGAGAAGGAGGCGGGATCTTGCAGTATTTTTCTGTCATGCTCGTACCATCTATTTCCACGTCGGGTGCTATGCGGGGTTCCCGAGCATGGCGTTTTCCATGACGCTTTCCGTGTGGGCTCGGAGATTTGCTGGTAACGGAAGGTGGACCCCCTTCGCCATGCGAAGATCCGGCGTGAGGTGAATGGCACGACCTTCTCAGGTTATGTGGAAGACATTGAGCAAGGCAAGGTCACCCATGAAAGACGCTTTGGTTGCATTGAGAAGTGCACAGGGCCTTGTTGATGATTTCACTGCGCTTGACTGGGCGTCTCACTCAGGACTCTACCGGATAAAGTATGAGGACGGTGATCTTGCTCCTCTGCCGAGCAGGGGAGCATGCTTCAATGCAACCTAATGCAGGCAAATGCACAAGGCGGTTGCAAATTAGTCATGGCGCCAAGGAGCACTTGACACCGGAGCAGGTAAAGAAACTGAGGATCGAAGACGATGAAGAGATGGAGGACTGGCATGGACTGGACACTTCGTAGACTTATGCGGCATGTGACAGCGTGTAATCACCTTTGTGAAGTTTGCTTAATCAACAGACACTGCAGGAGGGAGATCAAGATGAAGATGAGGAAGCCGAAGAGGAGGAACTACCCAAGGTGAATTAGTAGCAAGTCGTGATTGCCGATGTTTGTCTGATGTGGCAAGATCTTGCCGTTGGCTTAGGCAATGAAGACATCTCCGAAAGCCAAGGCGAAGGCCAAAGCGAAGGCGAAGGCGAAAGCGAAGGCGATCCGCTCTTGTGCTTGTATTTTGCTACCCTCTGCATGGCTGTCAGCTGCAGGCCTCCCCGAAGGCCAAGGCAAAGGCCAAAGCTAAGGCACCGTTGTGTGTTGAGATGTGTCTTACTGCCTTAAGTACTGTCTTAAGTTCTTGAGTTGACTTGTAGAGCCTTATGCAGTGCATATGCAGGCAGTGCCGAAGGCAAAAGCCAAGGCAAAGGCGAAGGCGAAAGCCAAGAGCAAGCCTACGCCCAAGGCAAAGGCAAAAGCCAAGGTGGGGACCAGAAAGGACAGGTTGAGAGTTGCATGTTGGACAAGCTGCTCCTCCATTGTAGGAAATGTCTCACACCTGTCCTGTATTTTGCAGCCATGTTGCCCACAGGCCTGCCTTCCCATGCCCATCTGTCTCCGGGGCATTCGGCCAACCGGCACCCCGTTAGTGAGTCAGCCGATAGTATACCAAGTCGTTCTGGTGCACTGGGCTCGCTGACCTCTGGCTGGCAGCAAGAGAGCGAGGGAATCTTGGAGCAGGAGAACGCACGCCTTTCCGATGAGGTGCGGCACAGGAGACTGAACAGAGTGAGCACATGCGTCACGTCCAGACTTCGCAGCTTAGCGACCCTGACTGAGCTTGACTCGGTGTGTTTCAGGACCCTGGAGCTGGAGCGGCTTGCACGCGAGGCCGAGGGCTTGCGCGAGCAGATCCGGGAGGAGCAGCAGCGTCGTCAGAGTCGGGTCGCCGACCTCACGGAGCAGCTGCTGGGAGTCCAAGGCTGCCATATTGCGGCGCATGTTGTTAGAATTTTGGCTAAAATCTGCTAAAAACATCTCGTGAAAGCACAAGGCATGTACAAGCTAAGCATGAACCCCGCGATGGTCTTCGCCTTCTTTATACTTTGGTGTACTCGGTTTCATTTCGCTTTTCTGTTGTCTTTTGCATTGTCTTTGCCTCCAGCAGTGCTGTGCTATGTGGTGCTATGTGGTGCGATGTGGTGCTTTGTGGTGCTATGTGGTGCTGTGGTACTGCGGGTCATGATTGCTCTGTACTGTTTTGCTTTGTAGGTCAGAACAAGCTGCTGCAGACACAGCTGGCGCAGTTGCAACTTCGAGGATCCTCGACGGCGGCGGATGCCACGGCCCTGAAGCGTGAAGTTGTTGCGAAAACCATGGAGCTGGAGAAGCTGGTCCGCGAATATCAGCAGAAGAATGCCGACCTTTTCTCGCGGGCACAGTCCTTGTCGCAAAGCATGCTGCGCCTCTCGAGCGAGGGCCACTCTAACGATCGCGCTCCTAGCATCAAGGGGCATAAAACGGATGCAGGGGGCCTGTCTGTACATGCCGACGGAGCAGGTTCAGTGGTGAAGCCACAGGCATCTGGACATTCTCAGTTTGCCTCCTTGGGACCTCTTGATGAAGAGACCCAGCATGCTTTGAAATCGCGACTTCAATCTCTTGGAGACGTGGTGGTTTTTGTAAGCGACAAGTTTGATGCCTGCTGCGCGTCTGGCCACAGCATACCTCCTGGAGCGATGCGCGTCAGGCCTCGCCGATGTGATCATGTCTTCCTCATCGAGTGCCTGATGCCATACTGGGTCGAGGGCCTTTGCCCTGTTTGCCGTTGCAGCTTTGCCTACAGCCGCGTTGATGGTATTGATGAGAGTGACAGATGCTCTTCTGTGTCCACCAGTGTCTCCCAGCGTGCAAAGCGGGTTTCTCCGCATGGGGCACATGGAGCACATGGAGCAGGAGTGGGAAGTCTGGGGAGTGTGGGAAGCCTGGGTTCTCTCAGGGGTCCCGGGTTCATGCGGGCGGCGATCGTGGAACGGCAGCGGAGCTCCTCCTGCGGAGCACGAAGCGACGCATCGCTTGGAGAACGAGCGGGACCTCGCTCGCCCTCACGCTCTGGGACGGGAGGTACAGGAATCTCCAGGTCTGTAAGCAGGACCTCATCTGGGCACAGGGACCGTCCTCTGTAATAGAACCGTCTTGGAGCTCCTCCGTGGTGTCGGTCCTGAGGACGCACGCAGGCAAATGTGCGCGACGGCAAGGCGACTGCAAAGTGATGTCATGCCTTTGCCAGGCTTTGCCTTGGACCTCCCCGAGAAGATCATGAGGACTACTGCCATGTAGCCGCGGGTCCGAGTCGTGGTGTGGTCTGTGAGGAACGAGGCCCCGCGCTGCTGAGAGTCAATGTCAAGTTTCACGGCAAATGCAAGGAGCGCGCAACATTGAAAAAGAAGGTGCAGCGTCTGTGCAGAGACATCAATGAGCCTTCACTCTGCGTTTGAGGCCAAAGCAAAGGCCGTTGTATCTTGGCTGACATACTACACGACGGTTGTAGTGTCCGACCTGTGTTCTCGGGCTTGTCCATCACAGCTGATGTGATTAGTTCTCTGCCTCTGGAATGGTTGCATGGGGGACTGATGCTTTTATTGTGCTGAGATCAAGAAGCCTTCGAAGCGATGAAGGGCCTGCTGGGAGCTCAGCGCGCTTGAGCATATGCAAGCATCATGAAGATGTCATGAGAAGATGTCTAGATGTTGAGCAAAGACGAAGGACGTGGTTTTGAGCACAGAGTGGCAGACTGCCCTGGGGGAGAGCAGGCGGGTTGCAGGATTGAATTCCAGCATCGTGCAGCAGCTCATGCCTGTAAGGCAAGAAGAAGCTTCGATACCCTGCCGCTGGGCTTCTCTACTCTGAAGGACAGGTCTGCAAGAGCTACTAGTGGATACTAGACACGCGTCCGTTGTGTGCAAAGAACCTGGCACAGCCCAGCTGGAAACCCCATGGGCGCCCACTACAAAGAGATTTTCGAGGGCCCTCGTTGAAGTCAGACAGCCCGTTCCGGATTGTTAAATCCATTTAATGTGTTTGTAGTGCTCGTCAATTTTTCAGTGATGCAAGGTCGCACGGGTTAGGGGCACTCAATTCGACCGTTGCGTACATCTTGACAGTAGCAGCGAGGGAGTGGGGGTCTTGCAATGCCTGCCTTTGCTGCAGGAGCTTGTGCGATAGAGCTGAGACGACCGACGGGCCGTTTCGAGTGAGTGAGGGGACTGCTTTTGTGACATTGCCTTTGCAGTTTCAAGGGTTCTGTATCCCAGATGCTCATACGATCTCATCTTGAGCCGAGTAATGACAAGATAAACAGACAGACCCATGGATGCTTGTTGTTGCCATCAGCAGACGCGCGACATGCTTGCCGCGATGGCCTCTTGAAGGCAGAGGAAACTATTTGGTTCGTGCCTTAGGTAGGTCCGTAAAAGGGTTCAAGATCCTGAAGAAGGCAGCTTGCGCTGCAATTTTCAGAACTTTCGGGCTGTCGGGCAAACACGTGCTGGAAGGCTGTCGATTTTGGAAACTGCGGGGTACTACTTCTGAACCAAAAGGCCTAGAACCGTGGCAACGAAGCTTGCCATGTCTTGTTTGTTCTCGTCAAGAATCCTTGTATGTTGTTCAGAGAGGCATGGCAGTGTGTCTTGTTCCAAAAACGTCGGACATCCTGGTGCAGTATATTCTGCAAACAAGCAAAAACACTGTTAATGCCGCTGTTTGGGGCATGTTCGCCAAAAGCATGGACGCTTGTGAGAGCGTGTCTTGTTCCACATCCTTGTGCAGTAAGTTGTCTAGAGAGGCATAAATCCTACAGATACCAGTGTTTTGCCCACTCCCCCAAGCCGGAAAAGAAGGGAAAACTAGAGGCACAACAACTACTTGTGTCGGAGATGACAGCTGACGGGCAAGCGTGTGGTGTGTATTGTGTCATGACTGTCATGACACGTTCCTTTCACATGGGAGCTCCTCCTTGTGCAACACGAGAAGGTCCTCTCAGGTCTTTCGCAGCCAGACTGCAGAGTCGATTGGACAGCAGTGCGATAGGGCATCGTGAGCATTGCGGGCATTGTGTTAGGTCTACCAACTCCATTACGATCGAAAAGTTGGAACCGCCGTTCACCGTTAGGGCATTGCTGTGATTTTGCAGGTGCTTCGTTATGTTTCGTTTGCTGCCTTCCTGCACACACGCCTCCGGCGCGCAGTTGAGGGCTATGGCGAGCGACATGTCTCATATTCTTTGTCTGTACAAAAGCTTGTGACCACCCGACTGCTTGAGCTAGACATGGCTTGGTCGAGCTACTGGTGACGCAGCCTTCGCTGTTTTCACTGTTTGCGATGTGCATTGCGTTGTTCAAGGTTGGAAGCAAACTAGGAAGACCAACATGCAGCTTGGGGCACACGCTGGAAGCACTTCAGCCAGAGCCGACATAGGCGAGATCGCACCAGCTGTGACTAGCTGTGGTGATCTGTAGTGTTTTGTGGGACCCTTGAGAACGTAAGACTGGTAAGACTGGCAGAGAGTCCAATGCTGTCTCCCATGCTTTGCTTCCGACGTGGGCCATGGGCCACCCGAAAGCAAAAGCAGCTGGAACAAATGGCCAGCAAACATCCAGAGGCACCTTGGGTTGAAAGCGCAGATCACCGAGTGCTCGACATGTTGCCCCGTGCACTTGACCCCAACTCTAACTGTACTTTACAAGCCCTGTAAATCCCGTAAGGAGAGTACTCTAGATGAAGCCTAAAGCCTAAACCCCTAACCCCTAACCCCTAACCCCTAACCCCTAAACCCTAAACCCTAAACCCTAGACCCTAGACCCTGGACCCTAGACCCGAAACCCTAAACCCGAAACCATAGACCTTGGGGTATAAATGCCCCTTGAACCCCGTGCCCACCACTGGAGGCCAGTCCAAGCTTGCATCGCGCGCATCGGGCAGCTCGCGATGGACCGAGTCTCAGATCTCCCAAAGATGCTTTGGGGTTTAGGGTTTACGGTTTAGGGTTAAGGGTTTAGGGTTTAGGGTTTGAATCTTGGGAGCACAGATCGCAATGGATGGCTTCTTCAGGTGGGTGGCGCCTTTGTGGTTGACGACTGTCGTGGGACTGACCTTGATCGTCTTCAGGCCACCCTCCAGCCACATAGTCACGTTAACTGGCAGTCCCATGGCGCGCAGCATGTTGAGTTTCTTATGGCTTGCACTCTTAGCGTTGGAATGTGTTCTGCCAGTCAGCCAATCTGTATACCAACACACACACACACATGGAAAAGTGATGGTACCGGGGGCAGCTCTGCCCCTGCAAGTGCACGCGCATTCAGGCGCTACCTCGCGGCACTCATTCCAGGCAAGCAAGGACCAGCCGATCTTTGCAAGATGTTGCTGACTTCCCTGATGTGTCGGCTGAGTGTTGAGCACAGAGGAGTGCAGAAGCCGCTCGCGAGCATGAGGCAGTGTGGCAGTGTGCAAGTGCATTGAGACATTCAATTTGCCGTGGAGCTGCTGAGCTGAGAGCTGTGGAGGCCAAAGGAGAGTGTAGAGCTCCTTCGCAAGCTGGGTCATTGGCACCAGAAGAGAAACCAGGTGCTTGAGTCTTTCACTGTACAGTGCTCAAGTTGTATTTCAGCTCTTTTAGGGAATAGGCCGGGTGCGGTGTGAAGATGTAGCCGGTGAACCGGCTGATGACAGAGGACGTGGAAGCGCTGGTGGCCCTCCACTGGGCCAGAGAGGCTCTCTTTGATTGTTGCTTTTGCTCAGCAGGTTGCTCCCGGGTAGACACAAGGCTCTCCAGCAGCAGCTTGGGACACTTCAGTCTGTGATGACTGTGAAGCTCCTGGCCGACATAGCAGCGACCATGGATTCGCAAAACAGGTTCGTGTGCACGTTTTGCAAGACTCGAATGTGTCGCCGTCTGCCTGCCCGGCATGCTTGCCAGTCTCTGGGCACTTACTGAGAAGCTGGCCGTGTACGAGGAGAGGTCAACGGAATCAGTTTTGGTGCCAATGCAGCCATGCATCGTGAGATGTCGTGAGGAGTGCCTCTCCATCATAGAGTCGTTCGGGCCATCGGAGGCGCAGCATAAAAATTCCCGACTGAGCTTTGGCCCTGTGACTCTTCCGAAGCTTTCGTGTTGCGAGCCGTTGACCAGGTTGACCGGCTACTCAGCGAGGTCTCCGACTTTACTGAGCCGCTCAAGAACATGGGCTTGGTTCGGAACACAGCAAATGCCCAGCAACCTTCTTAAATCATTCCTAAGCCCAGCGACCCACCAACCCAAAGATGCAATGACCCGAGGGTGCCATCTCCATGAACGATGTGGAACTGGAGCTCAAGATTTGGGAGGCGCAAGATGTGACGCGATTTCTTTCGCATGCCGACGCAAAAAGGGAGTCGCCGAAGGTCTCCTTGCGGTATTGCCTGGCAACGAGATGTGCGGACACCGTGCGTCACGGAGAGGTTCTTATCCGGGCACGGAGCCCTGGAGCCCTGGAGCAAAGAGCATCAGGCATCCAACATGAACAGCACTGAATATGCAAAGGTTGGCGTGGCTCTCTCCAAGCAAGACAAGCAGGAGCACTGTGATCTGCGTGTTGGAATCAGACGATGTTCCCGATTCTGGAAAGCTATGGGCAGGACTCCGCCTTGATCATGCAGTACTATGACAAGGCAGGAGGACTCGACTCATCTGTGGATGTGTTGCCCTACTTTTTCGTGCGCGAGGCAGATCACATTTTCATGAAGCTGGGTCGGCAGAACACTCATTGGTACGCGATCCTCGCAGCGGCTCTCAGCCTTCCAGTGAAGCTGCATGCGTTGTGTCCTTGCAGTGATGTGCAGTGTTATACACATGTTAGGTGCACAACATGGGGGTGGTCTTCGGCCAACAGGGAGACAGACAGCGCTCTGAGCTGAGCAGCTAGACAGCCAAGGCGGCTACGGACATCCCATGTCGAGCTTCAGTTTGTGTGCACAATGGTGCACAAGAAGCTAAGCAAGGTGAGCTGGCAAACTACGAGAAGGCGTGGGCTTGCCAGTGAATCTGCTTGATTCACTGGCTCCTTGCCGCCCCGTCCCCACACCCCGCTGCACCCGCCCCTTCGGTGCGGGAGGCTGTTGACACTTACCGGGGTCTGAAAATGACTCAGACTGAGACGTTCACGAGCATCTTGCGCCCTGGTCTCGTCTGAACATGTCTGACTGGTGATGGAGACCCGTGGCATCCTGCCCTATGTTGCCACGATGTGTCATAGTTGGAGGTACGAGCTAGCCGCCAGCAGAACCGACAGGGGCAACAAAGAGGGTGGCTGCTCTTCTGAAACAGCGCAGCGTCAGACGGTGCCTTTGTTTGCAGAGTTGCTCTTCGTAGCCTGAAACCTGAGGACGTGAGGCCTTCTTGGAGGCGCTCTCCAAGTTGTGATTAGTTCATCATGCCACTTGTGTCTGCTGTACACTATCAATATAGTATTCATAACAAGAGTAAGTACTCTACCTTAATGCCTTAGTTTTGGGAATGATGCGCTCAATTTTCAGTTTCCAGAGCCTGTGTCGTTGGTGCCAGGCGGAGCGGGTCTTCCTTCAGAACCCGAAGCTGCAGTCGAAAATGCGCTCTCATTACGCTGCTCGGATTCATCTCAAAGCTGTGGGCTGCCGTGTAGATGTGTGAGAGGTGTCCGCTGTGCCTCCTGGGTAGCTGTCTACCTTCAAGAAGCCCGTAGTTGGCTCGTATCATGACATGCAAACTCCGCATGCGCCATGTTTCAGGTGGGTCAATACGGCCTCAGCCGCCGGGCTGCAGGCGATTTGGCCGGAGCCATCCATGCCTTCGAGGTTGCTGTGCAGGCCAAGGAATTCAGAAGCAATTCCATTCTGTAACATTGTTACGTTATCTGATGATTTAAATGAATATGACATGGTAGTATGTCAATGCACTTCTATTTTAAGAGGTACCTAGTATTGCCTACCAGTGTAGAGTCACATCGTGCCGTCAACTCAGGGAATCGCTGCTCATGGTCATCTCCCAAACCCTCCAACAATTTCTGAGTCATCCTTGTTGACTGCCGGGTGTAGCTGCGGATTGACTCTAGGCAGGATATGCCATTCTTGGCACTGAGATGACTGAGGATGCGCAAGTCCGAATGCACATTGCTGCATGGTGTTGACAAATTGAACACGAGGAAGTGCATCAGTGCCCAGAGTCTTGTAGTGGTAGCGGGTTGCTGGACGTCGTTTCGGGCTGACAGTGGGTGATGATATGTTGCTTAGATGCCGGAGACTGGGAATTTGCATAGGTTACCAGCACCACTTCAATTTCATGAAGCTTTGGGATACAAGGTTTACGGCACGGGCATGTGAACAGTTGGCTTGCCTGTCCTACTTGTATGGATTCGTGGCACGCGGGTTGTCTGACGTAGCTGGATCATTACATGGTAAGTGCATCTCAGGTGTGGGAGGCAGGGTTTTCAAGAGCTCTATGTGAGTCTGTGTGGGTCTCGGTAGCTTTCAACACCGACATGCGTCGTGTTGTCTACACTTTGACCCCGGTAAGGGATTCGCATGCTTGTGCGGTGACTTCCACTCAGCGCCACTTCGAAGAACTTGGAAGTGCTGCTTTCGTGTTGCGAACTTGTAACCACGTGAGCCTCATCACTGTGAGGTTGCATGGCATTCAAAGTTGGCATGATGTGACTTCACACACGTTTTGATGTGCCGGAGGCCCATGAAAAGACTCAGACCCTGCGCACGGAGGGCGGGCGCAGCGCAAAGCGGAACCTCAAGGAGCCGTGTAGAAGCCATGCATCCCAAGAACCGGGAAAACCCGACCCTGGACACCCTAACTTGAAACCCTGAACGTCCTCTCGGCCCTAAACCCTAAACCCTAAACCCTCAACTCTAAACCCTAAACCCTGAACCCTAAACCCTAAACCCCAAACCTAAACCCTAAACCCTAAACCCTAAACCCTCAACCCTAAACCCTAAACCCTACCTAGGAGGGATTTCTTAGGAGTCAAACACAACACACACACACACACACACACACACACACACACACACACACACACACACACACACACACACACACACACACACACACACACACACACACACACACACACACACACACACACACACACACACACACACACACCACACACACACACACACACACCCACACACACACACACACACACACACACACACACACACCACACACCCACACACACACACACACCCACACCCACACACACACACACACACCACACACACACACACACACACACACCC